GAAGACCATTTGCATGGATGATCTAAGAGGAAGGAGATCAGCCAATGAAGCCTGAAGGCCCTTCAACCTTGAATATTCTAAGATCCTATGATCCCCCAAAATGAACTAGCTAGTCTAGGATCCAAAGAATGCAGAGCGGATGAGTTTTCATTTTTTATAAACAACAGATCCGCTGTTTAGTGTAACTCATAACTCGGTGGTGTAGTCTATGCCCTAACCTCAAGAAACCCTCTTAAAGCCCCTTCTTTTGACCCTCCTTAAGTCACCATGCCATCGCTGGAACATACCCATAGCAGCCCAAGGTCAGGGAAAGAGAAACAAAGCCAAAGTCTGCAGTGCAGGAACGTAAACACTGAAAACTGGGAGGCACACTTCAGACCTCCACCAAACGACAGAGAGCTCCTAGGCAGAGGCCGGGGAAGGCGTGGCCTCTCTTGACAACCAGTGCATGCCTCCATTCACATCCCAGCCCGCACTCCAGAGAAGCGGAATGTTCATGTCCTGCCAGGACCAGGCCACAGCCAGAAGGTGGCCTGCCACCCCACCCCTGCTGCTGACCTGCCTCCTCCTCCGGGGACACTCTGGGAGCTCACATCACCCAGACATCACACAGCCCTTCTTACTCACTGTGGCCAACCCAGCAAGCAGAAAGGGTAAACGATCTGGCCTGGGACTTAAATTTATTTATTTATTTTAATTTTTAAAATTTTTATTGTGGTGAAAGATATGTAACAAAACATTTCAACCACTTTTAGGTGTCTGATTCAGCAACATAAACTATATCCGCCATGCTGTGCAACCATCACCGCTATCTACTTCCAAGCTGAAATTAAATTTTGATTCCCACCTGAGTGTCCTATTTTCTGGACCATATAGCTAATTGGTCCCTGGGTGGTGCAAATGATTAACACACTTGGCTGCTAGCTGAAAGCTTGGAGGTTTGAATCCATCCAGAGGGGCCTCAGAAGAAGGCCTGGTGATCAATTCCAAAAGATCATAAAAACCTTACGGAGCACAATTCTGCTCTGATACACATGCGGTCCTCATGAGTCAGAATCGACTGGACGGCAACAGGTGGTGGTGATGGATAGCTAATTAAGAGACACCCCAAATGTCCCTGAAACTGAGCTGCAGAGTTGTTAGTGCCCAACAGAGTGAGTCGTCTTCCCAGAACTTGAAAATAAAGGGAAAGATAGCTCTCTGGGCATTTACATTAACATCAGTCCAGCATGCATCAGGGTGGAGATATGCAGCTGTGGCTGAAATAGAAAAAGGCTCTCAGACTTTTCACCCTGACTGTCACCCGGGGTCCACTGATGCATCTAAGTGTCATTCATCCCCTTGCAAGCGCATGCTCAGGAAAGGGCAAGTTGCCTGTTCTCGTCAACGAGACACAACAGTTGGTTTTCCTTTAAGCTTTTTATTGACGTATAATATGCGTAAGGAGCCCTGGTGGAGCAATGGTTAAGCACCCAATTGCTAATCGAAAGGTCGGTGGTTAGAACCCCCAACCCCTATGTGGGAGAAAGACCTGGAAATCTGCTTCTATAAAAATTACAGCCTTGGAAACTCTCTGGGGCAGTTCTACCCTGTCCAATAGGGTCACTATGAGTTGGAATCGACTTCAAAGCACATTACAACAACAACATAATATACATACAGAAAAGTACACCTGTCGTGTGTACAGCTTGATACACGTTCACAAACTGAATATACGTGTGTAGCCAGCACCCAGATCAAGAAGCAGAACAGACGACCCTTTTCTGCTCCCTTCAGTCACTGCCCCCTCAAGGAAACCACTATCTTGACTTTGAACAGTGTAGAGTCATTTTGTCTGTCCATACATTTTATAGAAATGGAATCAAACAGTATACACTCTTTGTGCCTGGCTTCTTTTGCTTGACATTCTGTGTGTGAGCCATCTTCGTTGTTGTGTGTAGTTATAAATTGCTTACCTTTATTCTGGTATAATATTCCATTACGGAATAAACCACAATTCATTTATGCATCCCACTATTGACGAGTATTTGGCTAGTTTCCAGTTTAAAAGTATTACAAGTAGTGCTGCTGTATTTTAGTGCAGAGGAGCCTGGTGGCACAACGGTTAAGCGCTCCACTGCTAACTGAAAGGTCAGTGGTTGAACCCCCCCAGCCGCTCTGTGTGAGACAGGCCTGGCAATCTGCTCCTGTAAAGATTATAACCTAGAAAATCCTACAGGGCAGTTCTCTGTCACATGATGTCACCATGAGTTGGAATTGATTCAATGGCACACAGCAACAGCAACATTTTAGCGCGGGCCTTTGGTGGACATGTATGCATTTCTGCAGGGTATAATCCTAAGAAAAGAATTGCTGGACCGAAGGGTATGTGTATGTTCGACTTTGGTGGATACCACCCAACAGTTTTCTGCAGTGAATGTTCCCTGTCCTTGTCAACACGTTTGTCTTCTTCATTTTGGCCATTTGGTGGGGTTGCAGAGGAGATTCAAAGAGTTTTGTTGAGACTTCAGGGAAAGTTCTTTCTCTTCTTTTAGAGAGAGCCACAGAAAGCCAGTCAGTTCTCATGAATGTGAATGAGAAGCAGTAGTCCAAATGGCAATTAGCAGCCAACTGCTAGCATGTTATAAAGAAAGAGTGTGGTCCTCAATGACATCATCAAGCTGCTGCATTAGCCAACTCCATCCATTGCCTTATTGTTTAGGTTGGTTTGCTTTGGGTTTTCTGTACTTTGCGTCTGAAAGCATTTTTAGTGTTGTCTTCAAAGGCACTTTCGCTATATCACTGGAGCCTCACAACATCCTTGAGAAGATGAGAGTTATAGATTCATTTTTGTAATGTGGAAACTGACCACCAATGAAATTCAATGATTCCCCAAAGCCAGGAGTTAGAAAAAGGTAGAGCTGGCACTAGAACCCAGGTTCTCAGAGTGCTCAGCTGCTGCTCTTCCATCTACACTGTGTCGGTTCGCCCTTTCACAGCAGGCAGTACAACTGTCATCTCTCATTTTGTGAAAATGCCCGTGAGTCCTCTGATCACATAGCTGCCACTTCTCAGTGATGCTAACTTACATAGCCGGTATGCAGCCCATGATGCCAGCTAGGGGCGAGCCGTCTTTTGAAAACAGAGCTTTAACAGCTGTGCTCTCTGCATCACCCCGTTATGAGGAAGCTGTCAACCATGTGAGGCGAATCCCCAGGTTCTCCCGGGAAAGAAGGGGTGGTGCCTTATTCGTCATAAATCTCTAATGAGCAAACCAAGATGACGAGAAGAGCAGGAGCAGAAATGATAGTAGCAAGTTCACCTTCTCGCGAGACAGATGCAGGGGCTGTACCTGTCAGAGTCCCAACTAGAAACCCAGGAGTATTTCACCTAGTTTTGTAACAGTGCAACTCATTGATATAAAAATTCGATAGAGCAGTCGAAGACAGTTCAGTAACCTAAATCATCTCGCTGTAAAACAGTCTTTGTGATTCAGCCTAATTGCTCTATGTACACCAAACACT